ACTCCTACGGTTACAAGTGTGGCACCCGCCACCTCTTCGCGAAGAAGTTTCGCAAGCACGGGAACCCCTCCGTGAGCACCCTGCTGACGAACTTCAAGGTCGGCGACTACGTCGACGTCGTGGCGGACTCCGCTGTGCGGGCCGGGATGCCGCACAAGTACTACCACGGCCGCACGGGCATCGTCTGGAACGTCACCCCGCGCGGCGTCGGCGTGATTGTGAACAAGCCGGTCCGCAACCGCACGATCCGCAAGCGCATCTGCGTGCGCTTCGAGCACGTGCGCAAGTCGCGCTGCCAGGAGGCCTTCAAGCAGAAGCAGAAGGACTTTGCGGCCTTCCAGGCGGCGAAGAAGGCCGGTAAGCCGCTGCCTGCCCCGAAGAAGAGCCTCCGCAACGGCGGCATCGTTCGCCCGAAGAAGGTGGAGGTGCTCGCCCGCCGCACCGCCGACTACGAGGCCATGATCCCCTACTAAGCGAGAACCATCCGTCGCTGAGGCCGCCGTCGATCATTTTTGTTTTGTTTTCCCCATTTTTTCGTTTTTGATACATATATATATATATATATTTTGCCTCCCCTCTTTTTTTTGTCTCTGCGTGTGGGTGGCGGTCATGCGCTGCCTGGCCGCCCCGCCGCTCCTCTTCCCCCGCCGCTCGATGTGGCCGGCCCCGCCTTTGCTTTTTCGTTCGTCTCTGTTTCGCCCGCCCTGCCGGGGAATACGCTGGAGGGGAAGCGGCCAAGGACGCGCGCAACCACCACCACCACCAAAACACGAGGAAAGGCAATAAAACTAACCAAAAAAAGAAAAGTAGTAATAATAATACGAAAGAAACAACAACCGGCCCAGTGAAAGATAAGTATCAATACAACACCCACCTACCCACCTACACAACAGGAGAGAAAAATACAAGGAAGGAGGCCAAGTCGGGGGAGAAACAACAGGGCGGATTTAATGGCTCGCTTGGTTGACCTCGTCTTGCTGTCGTTGCTGCTGTTTGCTGCCACGCCCGGGGTGGCGTGCGCATTCTTTGACAATCTCGCTGCCCCCGTCACGTACCAAAGCGGGACTGAGATTCCCATTACGGTGAACTCGCTGACGTCCAGTCGAGGTCTGCTCCCGTACAATTTCTACTCCGTCAAGACCTGCCAGCCCGATGCACGGCGAATGGGGGATGAGCGCGTCCGCGAAAACCTTGGCGAGATTATTCTCGGCAACCGCATCTTGCCCTCCATGTACTCCGTGAAGGTTGGGGAGAACGTTACCTGTCGGGAGGTCTGCTTCGTGGCGTACTCCGTCGAGGACATGGAGCGACTCAAGAAACTCATTGACCAGCACTATCGTGCTCACATGTTTCTTGACAACCTCCCACTGCTGGAAAGGCCCGGCGCGGGCGAGGGCAGCCCCCGTCTCCGCATTGGCTACCGCCTTGGCGTGCCCGCGGCAAAAAATCGATCTACGGCGACTATCATTCACAATTACCTCAGTTTTAAGGTGACCCACAGGCCGGTGGGGGACGGTGCACACGCGATTACCGGCTTTTACGTTACACCAAGTTCTGTAAACGTACTCACAGGCTGCCCAGATACGGCGGTGGCGGGAGAGGGGCTGCTTCGGCCCGTAACTTCCGAAACAATGGACGTGAAGTACTTTTATTCCCTGTCATGGGAGTTGGATACGTCGAACGTGGATGGATTTCTGTCGACGCGGTGGGACGTGTACGCTCGTGCAAGTCATCCCGCGGGAAAGCGAGGCCACTTGATGGCAATCATTAATTCCCTCGCCTTACTCACCTTTCTGGGAATTCTCGTCATGGTTATTTTGGCGCGAACCGTTCGCAAAGATTTGTTGAGCTATGCAGATAACGGATTGGCTGAGGAGAATGCAGAAGAATCTGGATGGAAGCTTGTGCGTGGTGACGTGTTTCGCGCACCCCAAGAGGCTTTGCTTTTCACCGCCTTTGTCTCTACTGGCTGCCAAGTGATTTTTATGGCCAATGTCTTGCTTCTTGCGGCGTTTCTGGGTGTCGTGCGTCCAGCACAGCGTGGTCACCTTTTGACCAGCCTCATCATCTTTTTCTGCTTATCCAGCTGCATCTCTGGCTATGTGGCAGGCAGGCTGCTTAAGTTTTTCCGTAAACAAAGCTGGAAAAACGGGTTCGTCGCGGTGACTTTGGTTCCTGCATGCTTGTTGGGCATCTATCTCTTTGCCAACCTGATCACATGGGCAAAACATGCGAGTACCGCCATTCCCTTTGCAACGCTTCTGGTTGTTCTCTTTTTGTGGACTGTCGTGCCCATTCCACTGGCCTTCTTGGGGATCTCCGCCGGGTTTCGTTCTGCAATGCTAAGCGTGCCGGCGAAGGTGAGCAGCATTCCGCGCCTCGTACCAGAGAAGAGTGCGAGTAAGCGTTACCTCTACATTTTTGGGGGCGGACTCGTCCCTTTCACCGCGGCCTTTGTAGAGGTTGTTTACGTTCTGGGCTCTTTTTGGAGAGGGGAACCGTTTCACTATTTTGGCTACCTGGCTGCCATTCTCTTTGTCATTGCCTTTATTTGCGCCGAGGTGACGGTGGTTGTGGTCTACGCGATGCTCTCCGACGAGGACTACGAGTGGTGTTGGGTGAGTTTCCTGACCTCGGGCAGCTGCGGCCTCTACTTTTTTATCTACAGCCTTGTCTACCTCTTTGTGGCGCTCGAGATACGCCAGCTGCTCTCCATGGTGCTGTTCTGCGTGTATACCATGGGCCTCTCCATCCTGCTGGGCGTGACGCTCGGGACGCTGGGCTTTCTCGCATCTGCCCTATTCGTGCGAACCATCTACGGCGCAATCAAGGCGGACTAACTCTCTTTCTTCTTCTACTTCTACTAGGGACGCGTAGGGCCGAGGCTGTTTCACAGCGGGTTTTTTTCTTTTTTCGCGTGCGTTTTTGTGTTGTGCGCCCCGCATCCACTTGACCTCATTCTTATTTTTTTTTTTGCGTTTCGCACTTTTTTTTTTGCCTAACAGTACGCATGTGTGTTTGTGCGTTTGTGCGTGTGTTTCCCAGACTTTTGCGAGGCGAGAGGGAGTTTTCTGGGCAGGCGGGGAGCTTTTTTTTTTTTATTTTGTGATTGCCTTTTGCGTTTTCACCCCCCGTTTCTCCCAAAACAGAGCGTATATTTTTGGCAGTTTGCGTGGCCAAAAGAGAATAGAGCGAACCTTTTTTTTTTTTTTGCAATTGGGAGTTCGTGTGCGTGTGCGTGTGCGTGTGCCGCGTGTGTCCCGGGTGTGCCCGACTTCTCTGCCTTCTATCGCCCTTGTCCCTCTGCTCTCTCTGCGCGTGATGCGCCCTCTCACCGGCGGCAGTGTGTTTCTGCGCAGCAGAGCGGCAAGCGAAGAAGAAGCGAAGGGGGAAAAGAGAAAAGGGGGCGGGGGCGAGGGGAACAAAAAGGAAAAAAAAAGGGGGGGAAACAAAGAAATAAAGGCCAACAAACAGGGTATCTGGATATCGTGCGGCCCATCCACAGATTACTGTTGTGGCAGTCGGTTTGTTGTTGTCTACACGTCGGACCACCCACCAGCCGGCAACGCAGCGACGCGCGAGGAAGCGAGCGAGGGGTGTGAAACGAATACATACATTTCGAGGCATCAGTTCGCGCTGACTGGGCGTTTGAGGAAGGGATGGCGCGTGAACACCACACGTACGAGGCGGAGCACCGCATGGGGTCCGTGAAGGCCGTCTCCGGCCCAGTCGTTATCGCGGAGAACATGAGCGGTAGCGCAATGTACGAGCTGGTGCAGGTGGGGTCCTTTCGCCTGGTAGGAGAAATCATTCGACTCGAGGGCGACACCGCGACCATCCAGGTCTACGAGGAGACGGGCGGCCTCACAGTCGGGGACCCGGTGCACTGTACAGGGAAGCCGCTCTCGCTTGAGCTCGGCCCCGGCATCATGTCAGAGATTTTTGATGGCATCCAGCGTCCACTTGACACAATTTACCGTATGGTGGAGAACGTGTTTATTCCCAAGGGAGTTCAGGTGAAGGCCCTGAACGAACAAAAACAGTGGGACTACAAGCCACGTGTGAAGGTGGGAGACCTGGTGACGGGCGGAGACATCCTCGGAAGCGTTGTGGAGAATTCGCTCATGTACGATCACTCCATTATGGTGCCTCCCAACGTTCAAGGGAGGGTGACGTCGGTTCAGCCGGCGGGCAACTACACACTTGTGGACGACATCGTGGAGCTGGAGCACAACGGGAAAAAGCGAAGCCTGAAACTGCTGCACCGTTGGCCCGTGCGAACACCACGCCCGGTGGCGATGAAGGAGTCCGGGAACCACCCGCTGCTCACCGGTCAGCGTGTCCTGGATGCACTTTTTCCCTCTGTGCAGGGCGGGACCTGTTCCATTCCTGGCGCCTTTGGTTGTGGTAAGACGGTTATTAGTCAGGCCTTGTCCAAGTACTCGAACAGTGACGCCGTCATTTACGTGGGATGCGGGGAACGCGGTAACGAGATGGCGGAGGTGTTAATGGAGTTCCCCACGCTTACCACCTTTGTCGATGGCCGTGAGGAGTCCATCATGAAACGGACGTGCCTCGTAGCCAACACGTCGAATATGCCTGTGGCTGCTCGTGAGGCTTCCATTTACACCGGCATTACCCTCGCTGAATACTACCGTGACATGGGCAAACATATCGCCATGATGGCAGACTCCACTTCACGATGGGCAGAGGCGCTTCGAGAGATTTCTGGTCGTCTGGCTGAGATGCCTGCAGATGGTGGCTACCCTGCGTACCTCAGTGCCCGTCTGGCTTCCTTCTACGAGCGTGCAGGCCGCGTCACGTGCATCGGTGGCCCTAAGCGTGAGGGCTCTGTCACCATCGTGGGCGCCGTTTCCCCGCCAGGCGGAGACTTTTCAGATCCGGTGACCTCCGCCACACTTGGCATTGTGCAGGTCTTCTGGGGCCTCGAAAAGCGGCTGGCGCAGCGCAAACACTTCCCTGCGGTGAACTGGCTGATCTCCTACTCCAAGTACCTAAAGGTGCTGGAGCCCTTCTTTAACACCTTTGACCCAGAGTACATGCATCTGCGCTCGGTGGTCGCCGAGATTCTGCAGCGTGAGGAGGAATTGCAGGAAATTGTTCAGCTTGTCGGCAAGGACTCGCTCTCCGAGTCGGACAAGATTATTCTCGAAACGGCGAAGGTCATTCGTGAGGAGTTCCTGCAGCAAAACGCCTTTACCCCCTACGACAAGTTTTGCCCACTGTACAAGACGTGTTGGATGCTGCGCAACATCGTCACCTTCTACGAGGAGGGCCAGCGCGTTGTGGCCGAGTCCGCCGGCGACCACAAAATCACATGGAACTACATCCGTGAGAAGATACCGCATATTTACACCGGACTCACCGACATGAAGTTCCGCGACCCCGCGGAGGGGAAGGAGGCCAACATTGAGTACTTCAAGAAGCAAAACGAGGAAATTATCAATGCGTTTTCCTCCCTCCTGCAGTAGTCAAGAATTTTGTAGAGAGCCAGCCCGCCGTTCTGCGCGTTTCCTAATTGCGCCTTTTATTGGGACGTGTGCGCGGCTGTGACGTCTTTATTATTATTATTATTATTATTAATTTGTCCCTTGTTTTGGTTTGTCCTCGCTTCCTCGCTCGCAGATAAGGAAGGGGAAAAAGACGAAGAAAAATGAAGAAAAAAAAAGGCAAATGAAAAAGAAAAGAGAAGAAAGTAAAACGAGAAGAAAAACAAAGCTGGGAGCTAACGGAGCGTGTTTGAGTCCTGTGTGGGAGCTGCCGAAGAGCTTTGTTGTTGTTGTTGTTGCTGGTGGTGGTGGTGGTGCTTTTTTTTTTGTTTGAGTGTTTGCCGGGGCGTGTGTGGCTTTGCTTCGTGCGGCTGTGGCGTAGTGGATGGGTAGCAGGGGCGGGGGGCGGGGGGCCGTGCCCGAGGCGAGGCGAGGTGAGGCAAATGCACTGCAAAGAGGAAGTCTGAGGGAGGGGGGGGGGCGGTGCAAGAGAGGACGGGAAACTGCGAAGACGCCTGTAAGCAACGGGAAAAAAACAACAACAACTACAAGAAAAACAAAAAAAGCAAGGCAAAACAAAAACAAAATATCAACTACAAAACAAAAACGAGGCAAAAAAAAAGACAAAAAAGCAAAAAGAAACGCAATTGGGATAAATGAGACATAGAAGCAAAGCCGCATCTTGCACACGGCGAGGCACAGCAAAAAGGAGGGAGGTTTCCCTGAGAATGAGCCGGCCCTGCCCCGTCTGCCCTGCGGCTTCTTCTGGGGCTTGGCTACTTCCTTTTTTCTTCACACCCACTGTGCTGGCACGCGTGTGCGTGGTGCTTGTATTTCTCCCGCCTGGTTTCTGGCCTCTCGCCGGCACAGTAAGTTGCATTAGTTGGCCCTGGCACGGTGTAGGAGAGGATGCAGCGGGCCAGCAGAATACTTGCGGCGCCGTTCAAAAGTGTGCTGCGGCGCCACAAGCTCCATCCGGAGGGGCTGCCGCTGTACAATGAGATGTCCAAGCAGTGGCTGTGTCGGGAGGGGGAGCGTTGGTGGATTCTCGACGCCAAGGGTGAGCAGCTTCCACGTGTGGCGGCGGTCGCGGCGCAGTACATCACTGGCCAGCATCGCCCAGACTTCACCCCTGGAATGATATCCGGCGACCACGTCATCATCGTCAACATCAAGGACGTAGTCATGGTAGGCGACGAGTGGATACGTGTGCCGATCACCTGGCAGACTGCCTACCCAGGCGGAAAGTACCGCATTCGTCTGACGGACATGTATGAGCGGGATCCCTGCATGCTGATGTGGTGGTTCTTGAAGGACGAAGTGAACCGGCACTTTGTCCGGAAACTAAAGACACGCGTCGCCCCCCTGGAAAAGGCGTGGTTGTACGAAGATAGTGTGCACCCGCACGGGGACAAGAACCCACGCCCGCTTTGCTGGTCCGATCCAGTAGTGAAGGGCTGGAAGTACAGGGATCCTCAGTTCATCCGGCGCTGGAAGCCCAACGAATTCCTCACGTAGCAAGAAAACCAACTACCCCCCCCCAAAAAAAAACAAAAAACAAACTTTAAACAGAAGTCAAGTTGCTGGTGTGGGAAATGTGGAGGATAAGGGGACAAAAGTGCCTGTAT